CAAAAGCATTTTTATTTCATTGATGTTATAAGAATACTTGAAATTAATAATTTTAAAATGGAAAATTACAGACTTTTGACTGCAGCTGTGCTAGTGGAGACTGCAATCACTGTTAGCATTTTCCATTATTTCATTACATTATTTAGTCAGATTTCCCTCAATCCTATTTTACGTGAATTTACCAGCTTTATAGTTTGAATTACCACCAGAATGATGCATTTCTCTAACTATTTCTCCTATGTGGATTTCTGGATTGAAAAATAGCAACTTTTAAGTCATGGGATCAGAGAATATTGCATAGAATTCTGTCGTGTTCATGAACCCCCTTCTCTACACCATTCCCATATGAATGAGTTACATAAAGATAATGCAAAGATCCTCCACCTAATGAGAAAGGCACATAGAATTTTTTTCTTTTTAACTGTAAGATAGATCTCTCCTATTACAGGAAGGAGTTTATTACTAAAGGACTCACTAATTCATGATATGGGCAGACTGCACTGATACAGGTTCCATTAAAGAATGGCTCCATTTAAAGGCATTTCGCAGATGAATAAATAAAATGGTCAAATTTTATGGCATCAACAGCTACGGCAATTGAATGCATTTCTGCCAATAAATGTGCAATTCTGTCGTCTGAAATCTGTACCCTCAAAAATGGAAGCGTGTCGACAATCAGACCGTATGACCCCTCTGCCAAGGGACACTCTTCCCTTGCTCTTAGCAAATGAAGTATTACACTTTTTTTCCTTCTCTAACCATCCAGAGAGAAAAACCCGACAATTTTAACCGCAGTATAGAGGTATTTCTGTTCAGACAGCCTGGGCCCTTCGTCCACAGCTTTAGTAAGAGCCTGGAACTGGAAAGAGAAAGAGAAAATAAAAATGTTTTTAAAGAACCTCAGGAAAAACCAGACTCTGGCATTACAGATTTTCTGAAAACTACCTGTGCTTTCATCCACCAGGAAAAGAAACGCCGTCAGCGAGGGCTCTGCTTGACCACACGACTGTCCCGTGAGACGAGCCTCCTGCCACACGGGCCTGAATAAAGCCTTTTCCCTTCCATGTGCTCAGTGACTCAAGAGGGGAAAAAGCCACCGTGCTACCCTTTGGCATTTCTTCTCCTCCAACTTTTTCTCCTTTTCTTTTAATTGAGTAAACCAAGTTATTCCAATACACATTCTCCTAAAAGCGTTACTTCTAAATGCCGCATCGATCAGAAATACAGCCAAAATCTTTCACTGTTGCTGAAGTTCAGTCTCTAAACCGGGGAGGTCTCTGCCAGTTTGGAAAGCCAGTAGGTAACTCATCTCCAACAAGAGAGTCTCAGCAGTAGTTCAAGCTAATCCATTTTACTTTCCACCGAAACAGAAGAGCAGCTGTGACCTTAGCTAAAAACTGGGAACAAACAGCTGGGAATATCACTTCAACTCTAGGAGCTCGATCTGAGGGTGTTCGTCTGCCCGTGCCCTTAGATAAGGTGGGCACTAAGGAACCCAAAGTGACTCCCGGCAGGACGGCGCGGGTCACCCCAACAGCATCTCAGCAGGCTAATCCACATTCAACGCAGATCATTAAATATGAAACAACAAAAGGAGCTAAGCCATTAATAAAGTGCCAAAAATATAGGAAATACTGACAGCATTTTATTTGATTAATTTTATAATAGATACCAATGACAACCCTTGGCAGGATGGAGTGACTTCTGACTTATGAATGCTGTCTTTATCCAGCAAAATTACATGATTCAAATGTAATAATGGAGCTTAGAATTAACAGTTAGTGTTATAAAAGAAAAATTTCCTCTAGGGCAAGCTACAGATACGCCTTTTAAAAATCATTACAGCATTAAAAACTGGGCAGACGTTAAAGAATCCTAAAGAACTAGTGGACAGTGGAAACCCAAAAAGCAAACCAAAAATAAACAGGAAAAAAAAAGGTGTAAGATTCAAGGCACTTACGTATTGCTTATTAAGAAGAGAGATTGACCTTAAGTGCTGCATTTGCGTTCAACCTATGAATACCGTTCTGCTGTCGTACAATGCAGCAAGAGCTCTCGGTAAGCATCATGGAATGCAATCATATAGACACAGGCACGAGAACAGTTTGGGGAATATTATTTTTTTTAAAAAAATCATCAAACAGAAAAAAAAAAAGCCTCACTATCGAGAAAGCCGAGAGTAACCACTTGACTGCATCAAGCACCTGGATTTCAAATCAGCAGACACGGACAGCAGAAACAGACTGGCAAGTGTATTGCCTAGGATTAATTCAAAAAAACCCAACCTGAACCAAACAACGACAAAGAAAAAAAATAAAAGAACATAAGAAAATATCTGCATCTTCCAGTCAGAAGTTTTGCTTCGTGGCTGAAGACGCATCTTGTTATGACTTGCATTAAGGTATGTGTATTTTTACCAGGACGTGCATTTATCGATGGAGCTGCGCTTTGTAAGTCAAACCAGGACGCTGTGCAGATACAGAAAGGTAACACTTGGCCTCACCACGTTATTTCCCTCGCTGGCCGCTCCCACGGACTAACTGCACTCCAGATAAGAAGCCGTAACCGCTTCCAGCACGTGCTGTCACATACTGGTGTCTGTTATTACACATTGTCTCCTCAGCTCATCACAGAAAGGGGCAGTTGCTCTCTCTGTTTCTCAATTTTAGTTTTGCATCACAAGTCCCCGATTACCCAAGGAGGTATCCTGAAACAGCTAACAGTAAAAATAGGAAATAAATCCCTGCCTTTCAGCCTCCTAGAGCCTTCTTTTCTTAATTATGAAAAGGATTGATTTTAGTGTACTGATTCTTAATTTGTGAAAACTTGCACTAAGTGCTGCTGTTGCATGTTAAGAGACTGTAAATGAAATACATAAGTTCTAAAACATCATGCAAGAAATGTGGTTTCACATCTTACAGTCAAAAATCCTACTAATGAATTAATACAAGCACACTGAGGTGTAATATTGGGAACATACCTTTAAAGTCGGAACTCCTCTCCCCATCCCTCCCTCCCCCAAAATCAGAAAAGTAATATTAATTAAACTTAAGAAGTAATGAATGCACCATTAAAGTGTCATCAAAAAGATGCTGACCTAAGACAAAAGTTCAATGATACACAATACGGTCAAAAAGTCTTCAATCAATAATATACAGTATGACAACTACATCTTGTAAATTATACCCAATACTGCCGGCAGTCTATCCCTCTAAAGAATATTTGCCCCCTTTCATCCCTTCCTAACAATCAGATAATAAAATACAGCACCTATAAATAAGCAAAAAAAAATTATAAAATATATATTTATATATATATATATTCCGAAATCATCTATTGTTAGTTTTAAAGATATGGCAATAAAGGAGTCTAAATTAGCAAACTTGTAGAAGCCATAACTGATAAAACAGCTTATTGAAAAAAGGTGGCAGTAATGCACTCTATGTGTGCACAAGTACGTAAGAAAATACACAGACGTATAAAATTGCACGCACACACTCACGCACACGCATCCTTCCACGCACCTCTATGCTCACGCATATACATATAGACAACAGGAGGAATGAGAGACAAGTTAGAATTTGATTTGTACTTTGATCAGCCCTAACCTGTGCATAAAAGAATGGAAAAAGGCTGTATTTCTGCAGGTCTACACTGGGACTCGAGAGCATGAACGTTTTGGTTTGGAGTCTGGGCTATTTCCGTCCCGGTAAGAGCCCGTCTGGTCATCGCCATGTACTCTTTATCCACGCAAAAAGAAGCTTCCCACAACTAAAACGTATTTAAAATCAGTGCTTGTGGTGGGAAGAGAGTCAGTAAATGGCCACCAACAGCAGGAAAAGGTCCCCACGTGAGGCAGCTCCCGTCCCCTCTTAGTGGTGTGTGACAGCAATCGTACACGTGAGCTACACCTGAACCGGTTCCAGGAAAGCGGAATATTTCGGGTTCCGGAACACACCCCGAGCTAGCAGGCTGAAATGTTACTGGCCGACGTTTTTGGAGCGATCTGTCTTTACCGAAAGGAAATTCTGTACGCTGCGAACCAAGTGAAATGATCAAGTACATGCTGCTTCTAAGTTGTCTCCTAAACCTCCTAGATATGAGGTCTGATCAGCGTGCTCTGTGGTTAGAGGTTAAAAAGCAGATTATAAAATACCTAGATTCAGATTTTTTTTTTTTTGTCCTGATTTGGCCTAAAATGGAGTGTATTAAACAAATTCTGGTCTGCAAAAGACCAGAATCAGTTAAAGCTATGAAACAATGTGCACTACGTGTCAATATTCTATTTCACTTACAAGAAAACACTAAGTCAGCTACCACAAATTAAGATTATTTTCCTGATGTGACTTTTTTTTTTTGTTTTGTTAAAAAATACGTGGAGTAAATGTGTTTTTTTTTTTTAATTCAAAGTTTCAAACAACAAGATTCTTTTCTTTTCTTGAAAATATGTAGGAATCCAAACTAGTGTGTTTAGAGTCGGTTGACTGTGCAATCTCTTAGTGGCAACTGAACAGCTACAAAAAACTTTCTTTTTTTTTTTCTTTTTTTTTTGAAAAATCTCCCCTTTTTTCCTGGTTTAAGAAGATAATAGTGTATTATCGCTCTGTAGCCATTAGATGGCAGATAAAAAGCCCCCTTTTAATATGTGGGTTTGATTTTTTTTTTTTTCTTTTTTTTCCGTTTTTCTTTTTTTAAAGCCCACACCAAAGAGGAGGGCACAAGGCAAAGCTGTATGAGTTATTCCAGAAACTGTGGAAATCACTTAGGGCAATAATAAAAACACTTCAGGGTACAAAAAAGCTTGACTACACATTTCAGTTTTCTTCCTCGAAAACACAAACATAAATCGGGCTTAACGCTCCTTTTTTTGTTTTCTATATGCACCTTGGCCTATGGCGTTTTTGCCCTGTGGCCCGCAGGGCGGTTAAGTGCGCAACACAATAAAACCAGTAGCGGTCCAGTTTCACTTCCCAGCTCTCCAGAGTTGGGCGAGTTTAATCTCAAAACTCCCACTCGACGGCCTCTTCCCGACTCGCGGCTTTCTCCAAGCGGTGGATGATGTTGTTCAAGTTCGCCGCTTTCTTTTTCCTCAAGGAGCTGTCTCGCGTGTTCCGGGAGCTCGCCGCCTCGGAGAAGCCGAACAAGCTCTGAAGGGAGTTGGCTTTCTGCGAGCCTGCGGCCGGCGTCGAGCTCGTACTTGGCACACTGGAGATTTTCTCCGAATTTTCTTTCGCCTTGCAGGAGCCCTCCCCCGTAAGGACTGAGGCGGAGGCAGCTGAGGTAGAGGCATCCCCTTCCGTGGCAGAGTTTGGCAGTGTCTCCAAAGCTTCTCCCAGGCGCTGCGACGCCGGCGGAGAGCTCTGGCGCGGCGCTCTGAGCCTGCCCTCGTCGTCGGTGTCCTCCAGGCTCTCCGCTTGGAAAGGCTCCGCTTTCTCCGCAGACCTGGCGCCGTGCGGTGCCTCTTCCCCCGCCTCGAAAGCCGACTCCGCTGGCCCTCCCTGAGACTTTGTGGTTGCACTGCCATACTCATCCGCCTCCGGGCCACTCGGCTTTCCGTCCGGCGCGCCTTCGGCGTCCACGCCGTCGCAGCTGTCTCCCTCGGAGCTGTGGGCGGCCCTGCTGCTTCTGGCGGAAGGAGAGTC